ACTTTGCAATCTTCAACAAAACATTTTGGGTCAACTTGTTACTTGTTAGTTGTTACCATTACATTCTGTAGGATATTTTGGCCGGAGCGTTGAAGGAATGCAGATTACAGAACTTGAAAATTTTATGAAAATCTTATCTTTTGAAAATCTTTTTGAAATCTTATTATTTTTAACAAAAAAATACATGACATTTGAGCCACAAGATTTCTTACCTATTGAAATTATATGATATTAGAGCTACAATATTTCAGAAAAAAAGTAAGACTTTTCACAACCTGGACACCATTGATACGCTGCATAAAGATAATAGTGCGGAGTGCCGCTGCTGCCAGCTGGCCATATGTCTTCAGCCAAAACTTCAGCATGCTGTTACACAAGCAGGCAGTTCTGCCTCTGGCCTCACCTGGTAACTACTATGGCCTAACCTCTTCTGGCCCAACCCATTCATGCTGCACTGACTCATGTCTCACTGTACATGGTGGCATTCTAAATGCCCATGTACCTATATAATTGAGTAGTGCAGTGCCCAAAATAGTAGCACCCTTCCTCCAAAAGAAGCATGGTGGCCTTGATGAGTGCACTTCACCCAAATCACTGGCATTTCCTTGACAATAAGCACTCCTGTAAGGCCATCAAATTGCACTCATCCCCCCGGCCTCAAGTATGTAGCAGCACTCCAGCTCACAATGAATTTTAAAGCAACAAAAATACCAAACAAATTCACCATGTCAATATGGAAAACGATTTGGAGCTCCAGTTGTTTTGCTCCAGCCAAATGCCCAAGCAGGCAAGCACTTACCAGAATTCCACCATGGACTCACAACCTTCTTGCAGCCAATGACTGGATCTACCTTCTTGCTTGAANTTGTATTTCTCAGAACTTTAATTTTTTCATGTTTTCTAATTAGTTTAATTATTAATTTTTTGTTTCAAATCACTTATAGTGGTAATATATTTTGTTTGCAGTTGAAGGAAAAAAAAGAGAAGCTCCATAAATCACATCGAAAGAAGAAGAAGAAAAAAAAGTCCAAGTCTAAAGCGGATGAAAAATGTCCCAACAATGACAGCAAAAGCCTGAGCGATGCAAAACGTAAAAAGAAAAAGAAGCGATCAAGCAGCTCACCTTCCTCAAGCTCATCAGGGAGCGAAGACGAACGTAGAACAAACAAACATCCTGATGTAAAACTGAAGAAAAGAAAGCATGAAGTAATGTCGGCTGATTCTAAGCGTCACGATTCTGATGGACGAGTTTCTTCTTATAATGGACGTTCCGATCATGATAGGAGAAGGATTGACGATAGACACGACAGAAGAGATGACGACCATCATGATCGGAGAAGAGATCACGTCGATGTTGATAACAGAAGTGATGATAGAAGAAGAAAACATCCCGAATATCGCTAAATAAGATAAGTTAGATTGATAATGTGGAATTTTAGTTTGCTTGGGGAGCTGCAAGCAAACAGTGGCAAACTCGTCACGATTTATCTCGGCTCGGCTCGTCAGACCACGTACAATGGTAGATTGGTTTGGTTTTTAGCGCATTTTCTCATTTATGGAAAAAATGCACTATTGTGCTCGCCATGTCCATCCGTCTGTCTATCCGTCTGTCTGTCCGTCCGTGACTTCAAGTTTTCGTCGATGAGAAAATGCGCTCTCTGTAACTCAGTGCAGTGAGTACTGAGTTATATTTTTTAGTCAAGATGAGACGACTCACGAGTCAGACTCGACAGTGTATGGGAATTGTTTTTTACTGCCGAGATATACCTATTGCCTGTTAGAAGTTTCTCGGGGCACTCGCACTTCAAACTTTTGTATGAACAACATTGTCTTCAATAATTATCATGATATCGTAACGTTACTATGATTAAATATGTGAAATTGTTTGACTGTGGAAGTTCAACCAACGAGTTCTGTATAAGGTAGCGGTCAATTGTACCTCTATAAATTATTTTCCACATCAATATACTTTTGAATATATTGCCTTTTTTACTTTCAAACACAGCCATAATGAGCACCTGCTCGTTGTTAGTGAGGAATTCATAAAATTTAGAAAATTTCACTGCCAAATTTAATGTTGTGTGACTTGAATCACAAATTTTAAAAAATTTTAATATTAAAAATTATTAAAATTTGTGTCACTTGAATCGTAATACGAACATATTGCTCAAAAGTGTAACGATAATATAAGTTGTAAAAATCATCCAGAGTCACCTGTCATTTGATTGTATTTCCATATTTTTCGCGTCAATTTATCTAGAAGCGAAAACTTGAATTTTAAAATTGTCATGCGGCACTCAATATTGCAAGATGATAAGAGTACCTACCGTAATTATTATCCTATCCTGCGGAAGTATAAGAAAGCTGTATCTGGCTTTATTTTAATGAAATATTTTTACCAAAGTTGGATCAGTAAAATTCCAGTCAATTTTCATACGTTCCCGTCCATTGTGTCACGCTCAGCTAAAATTCGACAGACACAACGATTTAGGCTGTACGGAGTTATTAAAGCCTGAAGTTGAGTCTTTGATAATTTTTATAAAACTAGTAATTTTTGCGGGATCTCAACTATTCAGCTGCATTATGCTCGGCGTCTGACGTGATATGATTTATGTTCATGATCATGGATGAAGGAAACCTGGAGGGATGGATTTCTATCTGATATCTCGTACCGATGCAAAACTGCCAAAATAAAATTTGTCTTGGAGCTCTTGTGTAGCGTGAGACATCTTCGTCTCACTTGAATAATAAATTTTATGGATCCTGGTTGTGACTGATTGATGACTAAATCAAAAATAATTCATGGAAGACAGATCACAGTAATTTTATGTAATGAATAAACTGAATTAAATGGTCTTTAATCGTTATATTAAGCGTTTCATCGTTACATGAACTCGTTATCGTTACACGTTTAGAGTTCCCAACTCCATCTCAAACATTTACGTAACGATCGATTATTTTTATTACATTTTTTACTGGATCATGCTAAGTACTCAATGGTTCATCATGATAATTTTATCACAGATCACTTTCAAGCTCTGAGTAACTGAGAGAGAAGTTACGGTGCCAACGTTAGGCGCTCGATTATGCCTGGCAAAGCAGAGAGTTTTTTAGACTCTCCCTCAAGTTCATTTTTGAGTCCTACAAGTAGACCAGTAAAGTATCCTGGATACCAGCATTATCATACTTAAGAAATTGGTTCAAATCTTCAGTAAATGAGGAAATTAAAAATGAACTGATTCTAAAAAAGCTCTGGTTTGCCACCATTGAAGTGGAAGTATTATGACATTTGAAAAAGTATCGGTATCGGGTTTATTTTCGTGCTTTCTCTTGACTAATTGATACTATCCAATATCTGGCGCACCACTCGAAACTTCGAATACGTTGATTTATGACGAAAGTTTCATGGTAAGACTCTAGTGATCATAAGAGCTATGTCGTTCACATGTTCTTAATGCAAGTCCTGTCATGGTTTTCAAGTCAAGTTTCAGGACAGAAATCATAGTGCCTCATTTTCTCTTGGCCAATCAATGGCCTAAATAGTGCTTTGTAAACTAAAGTTTAGTCGTTGTTCTGTATTGACGCGCATGCATAGTTCTAGCTTAGCGTCGCGAGGCGACAGTAGAGTCAGAACAACGGTTATGGAACTATACGTACGCATGTCGCTGTTCTTTCAATCATATTAACTTGAATATTTCTAATTTGTACTTCTGGGATAATTCTCTGCAGTTAAATACTTGTCATTACATGCGGTCTAACATTTTATATTTTCTTTTTATGCCAATTTTCTCTATTAATTGTTCCAAGTAACCGAATAATTGTAGTTTCTCCAATTATTTGTTGCACTTGCATTGATTAATTTCACATTAATCAGTAGTCACATATTTAAATTGATATGCTGCATCATTTTCATACAATCACCAATAACATACACTTTTATTCTCAATTTTACTTATATATTTCGTGTACATATATGACGAACAATAATATGAATGTTGAATCAAACATATTGTCTAATATTCGATTCAATATTGCTTACTCCGCCATTTTCACGTGAGCTCAAAACCGAAAAATTATAAAGAAAATATTTTAAAATTTGAAAGAATTTTTCAAACTATTTATCCTCTGCACTGAATTGAATATTATTTATAGGCGTTGCAGTGGCTACCGAGATGAAGTCGTGCATTTTGTTACCGGATCTCAGGTTCATTCGCTGGAAAGCGAATTTGTTTTCGGCTTCCATGTTAGTATCAGTGATACCGGCGGTGGCAGCCGTAATTCATGCGAATCTCTTTGCGAAGGTTGGTCTGAAAATTGTTTTAAATGGTGAATTGTTCAAGCTCGAAGTTATGGTACCGGAGTTTAATTTATTAATTTAATTAATTTACAGGGCAGGGTGGACCAGTGGTTAAAGTTCAGAGTACCAAGATTGGCGCAGAGAGGTGCGGGTTCGATCCCAGCTCTGTGCGCCAGTTTCTGATCAGAATCGGCGAGGAGGCCGGGCGGTTA